GTTAGACAATGGCCTATACTTAGAGGAGACATGTGCCCGGAAATGGGGCGTGTCAATATTGAGGTAAATAAAAAGAAGACTCATTTAATTCGTAATATCAACTATTTTCAATATCAGTTTGATTTGGACTATAGTTAATTGTAAATCTTGTTATAATTAAATAGGTTAACGTTTGTTAAAACGAAATATGAAGTTATATTTAATTTATTATTACTATTTTATCTACATCTTGTTATCGTGAGTCAATACGACACAATGAGCTTTAAATTGATTCCTTCTGTTATTTATGATACACTATACACTATAAACATTAAAACACACACAAACATACTTAAGTAGTGTGTGACACATCTTTTCAAAGAGGTTGACGGTTCAATCCCTGTGGCGACATCTGCCTGACTTTATTTTCCAAGTTTCGTACATGTGTCAATGTTTAATATCAATATCTCCCTGTGCACGGTCGAAGAGCGGAGTCCGCCTTGCGTGCGTTTACACTTTATACACTAGTACTACACTATTGTAATAGTGTACTATTAATATTTATTTTACTAGAACATATAAATGTTCTGTTTATTGCGACAATATGATATAAAGACGAAAACTCAATAGGTCTATAACAAACACATTAAAGAAATTCGTCGACTTTGTAACTCGACCTGTAGCTCTGTCGGTAAATTAAGCTACAAAACTTGGTCGCAGGTTCCTATCCCGTCGAGTCGAAGATTTTTTGTTTGTGTTCGATCTTTGTATTTAATAGGTTATAAGTATAATTAGAGCAGGCTTATAATATCTAAATTTTGATTGTAATAGCAGTAAATTTATTGTAAATAAAAATAAATCGTTTTAGAAAGGCAAGGGTGCTGAGAAATTACAGGCACGTGGGATTTGCCTGTTATGGACAGCCGTGTCGCTTGGAATCATAAAAAAAGATAAGGACGTAAAAGCCAAAACACAACGTTTACAAAACTTTTTTAGTCATATATTTCTTATAACTTTTGTGCGTGAGTATATATACTTTTGATGCATTTTATAGTTTCTATTCCTTTTGAATTTGTATTCACTTTGACGTTATGTTTTTGGATATTCTGTTATTGTCATATAAATCGCCAATACACTTTCCTAAGATCCGGAAGGCTTTTTAATACTTTCGCCTTTCTCTCTCTCTCTCTAAAACCACCAGGCAACTGTCTCGATGGGACGCTCCCACATGCATCGTGGGCTAAAGGTCGCATAATAGCCGTTTATCTTGGACGACAAGGTATCGTATGAATGGCTGATGTCTCTACCTGTGGCGGTGTGCTCCGTCGGCCCTTAAAAAAAGCTTATACTTCTCCCTATTCAATAAAAAAGGGACCATGTGATTTCGCCCTTCTTCCTCTCTCTAAAACCACCAGGCAAGCGTCTCGCCAAGAACTTTATTTACGTAAAAAAAATGATTTATCAAAAGAGCTCGTAAATTTAATTCAGGAACAACAATAACAAGTTTTTTTCTAAATTAGTTTTTTACGCCCTGTCTTCCCCGTGGCAATCAACAAAATGTTACAATAATAAAATGGAAATCATAATTCGCGTTATTTGGCCCTATGTCAAGATCAATGTCGCAATTTTACGTAGCCCATTTAACTTTATAGAACTTAATGGTTAGTTACTAATAATTTTATATGTTCTCTGAGACACGCACAGATGGCTTTCATGCCATTCTGAGGAAGCGGGATGCCTCACTTTGGCGACGTGTGTGTGGGTGCCCCAGCAGCATTCTGAAAGTTTTGGCGGATAGAATTGACTACCCCATCCAGGCCAACTGGATGCAACTTCATGTGGCGCTTTAGTTTAACTTTATTTGATTTTACTTATTTATGTGTGTTAGATCAATTTCAATTTTATATTTAATTTAATTTTCAAATCTCAGAATTAAGATTTATTTTATTTTAGGATTTATTTTTTTTAATTTTTATTTATTTTAAGTTTGAATCAGGCAGTGATTGTTGATCAGGCACTTAAATAGAAAATGTAATTTTATTTTAATTTTCATATTTGAATTGCTTCATACTAACCTTATTGCTAAGTTCTTTACTAACAAACTATGGGTAATTGTTTTTTTCCGAAATAAAGTATTATTATTATAGCTGATGATGAAATAATTACAATGTTTTGTAACATTAACGTACCAGACAAATTCACCCATTACGTGGTCGCAAATTGGAGGATTTTTAAAGTTATGAAGATATTTCGAAAATTTCGTTTTCCATTTTTTTGTGATACTTAGTGATGGGACGAATAAGTCATGCGTCTGTTGGCAAGCGACACGGCTGTACATAACAGTTGCAGTGTCATTCACGACTAGTTCGTCCCGTCACATGTTATTATAAGACAAAATACATACATCCTTTTCCTACGAATCATAGAAGCATTCCCTTTTCTATCGTATGCCCTACATCATGTTGCACATCACACCGCTCTTTATTCACTCGTTTGAATATATCTCGACCTTGTGTTGATTGGCGTATTGTGGTCCACTTTATTGAGAAGAAAAGATACTCTATAGATGCAAGGATGGGGATTAGCAGACTCATCGTTGCCTACTATGGAAGTGAATGTGTTACGATTAATTTATTTAATATCCGTAATTTGCAATCTTCAGGGACAACCTTTAAACCATTTACCATTTATTTACCACACACAGTAATACGAACAGAACATAAATAATATAACAATACTGTGGGAACAACAGTGCGTGGAAGGAACAGGCTCAGTATAATCCTTGTGGCTGTATGCTACGCGGTAACCTGCAGGCCATCATCCAGTGGGCCGTTCGAAATATATGTAAGGATGGTGTCGCTGAGAATCCGAAGGACTGTGTCCTAATTATCGAATCTGGCACAAGACCGAAAGAAATAGCGTACTTTAGTGTCAGAGGCCAAAATAGTTTTTTTCTTTTTTTTTGTAATACTAAGGCGACAAGTTGTGCGCCAGGTGTTAAGCGACCCGCGTGTCATAGCAGTTTTAAATACACTCACGCGTTTTACATTGCAACGATTTGAGGGCCACTACGCCCGTCACCCTGAGTCATAAGTTGACAAGTATCATGGGACTGTATTTTCACCAGCACCATTACCCTTCAAAACTCAGTAATGCTCGCACTACGTAAGGTGGCAGTACCTACTTCCCTGGACGAACTCTTTCACAAGGAGCTCTACTACTGCTAAATCCACTTCGGGTCGCTGAGCCAGGAATTAAGTAAGTAATTTACATTAATATGTAAATATTATTGTACACAAAAAAAAAAGTACTTATCAAAATGGAAGTAAATTAATTTGCTACTGCACGAACCCTGAGAAGATTTAATCGTACAAAATAAATCGTGTTGCATTTTCATTAAAATTTTGAACATTTTAAACATTCTTTTTTATTATTTGAACACAATACAAATAACAATATTTTTATATTGCACATTGTTGTAAAAAAAAAACAATTAGTTATTTGGTTGTTTTATCCGTTTGTACAATTTGCAATGTTGCCGGTACCGGAATAATTATGTAAATTATACTCTAATTTGAAAACTTGTAATTGATAAATACATTTGTCCAAAGAATTTTAATTTGTTGCATTTAAATTCATGATTATAATTTGTGCAATAACAATAACATTAATTACCTGATCTTTAATAAATTACTCCTTCCTGCACAACGTAGCAGTAGAGCTCCTTGTGGAAGAGTTCGTCTAAGGAAGTACTGCCACCTTACCTATTTCTGCCGCCAAGCAGTAGATTATGTCAGCATTACCATGTTCCGGTTTTGAAGGGTAAGGGTGCTGGTGAAATTACAGGATGACGGGCGCAGTGACAGTGTCCCACAGGTCTTTGCGATTTAAAGCTCTAAGTGGCACTGCAAGTGTTATGGACAAGCGTGTAGCTTACCGTCACGCGCACGACTTGTTCGTCCCGTCACTTGATATTACAAAAAAAAAGAATGTAAGGAATTTCCTATACACATAATGGGTACTATAGTAATGAAATTTAACGACCGTTTACAAAAAAGTTTTAAGTCAAAATTCATCAGTAACGCGTAGAACAAGGCCGCAGTTCTGCACATTTTAATAAAATCACTGATCATTGTAATTTCATTCAGACTTCACCCTTACAGCGATATGCTTCGGAATCTTATTGTAAAAACGTATACAGTTCCCCAACGAATCGTTTTCCTCAGTTAAACGAAATTGTGATACCATGAGTTTATACTTAGTTCTAAGGTTAATATTATGAATATCTTCTTCTTTTAAAATTATCATTTCCTACGTTTCAAATTTACACTAAAAATATAATTGAAGACTACGTGTTAGATAAAGATGTATGGAAAGATGACATGGGTCTGGTTTCCACACAAATTTGATTCGAAGTGTATTTCATAGCATTTAAGTTTATATGAAAAGAGCAATCCTTAGGGTTTCTTGCTCGTTCTTTTCAGGGAAGTCAGCACAGTGAAGGAGCAATAGCTTAAAAAATGACGTTTTCAAGTGTAATTTTTTTTACCTATGGAATAAAATGATTCTTTGACTTTGACAAAATTCTAAGAATGTTGGTAATGAAGTCACGATGTATTTTACAAGTAAAGACAGGAATTTTTAAGAAAAGGAAGTTGATAGTACATCTAAATGGCCGATATGTAATTGATTAAAGATTAATATTAATTTTTTAAATGTTTTTCATTCATATTTTGATACGTATGGACTTTTTGGCAAGCCCGATATTTTTACATGTAAATGAAAATTATTTTGTGTTCGCATGTATATAAGTAAGTACCTACACGTAATAAGGTGTCGTCGAAAAAAATTGCCATAAACGTATTTCACATATTAATTGAACCTCGCATATACTGAATATTGGCGCACTGTATTTTGCACCTTACCTATTGCTAAATAAAATTGCTCATACAGTTCTTTACGTACTTTGTCTTCATCAAGTGTAGTATCTTAATGTAGCTACGTATTTATTTATTACTTACCATAGCAATAGGCACAAGCAAAAAGAAAGAGTACACCCGCACGGAACATTGTCAACAATGTGAGTGTATAGTCTGCGGCCGGAGGCGTGGTCGGCACTGAATAGATAATCGTGTCTGGAGACGCTTTATAGTTAATTGGTTAATTTCATTCAGGGTGTTTGGAAAATATTTAGTTTATTCAATGTATGTATAAAGATCTTAAAATATATAATATCGGACCCTTGGTGTAAGAAAGCCACATCTGCAAAATGACTACTTTTCATGAGAAAAATCAGGAAGGAATTAGTCAATAACTTTTTTAAGTTTAAATCATTGACTTACAAATAAATAGACGACGGTTCTATTACAAAAACCACGAAAAAAATGTCCCAAGTCAACCTATTTAAACGTAGTGACATGTCAAGGAATATGAAAAAGCTAAAACGTTGAATTTAAATTGTAATGTCATCGTAGTACTGTCTAATTTTGCTTGCTTCGCTGTCAGTCGAACAAACGAAGACTAGAGCGTGAATGACGCTCTGTATACGATTTTAACGCCCTATAAGTTCGGACACTTTTTAGCGCGGACCCGACGTCCATATAATTGTAAGTCAATGGTTTAAATAGAGTTTTAAGAATTTCACTTATACATAATTTGTTTCGTCTAGTTTCTTTTGTTTACTACATTTAAGATCTAAATTTAAAATTTATGATGCAGGTTGCCATCATGCAACTTTCAATGTGAAGTCTTGGTTTGCACAGTGCATTTTTCATTATTAATTTTTCAATAGCAAAGATCCTCATTTCGTTCACATTCGCCATATGTACAATTTTTGGTCCGCTGTTAGGGCAAGTTATGTTCATTTTGTATTATTTGTTCGTATGCTATAAGATTTTTTTTTAATCTAGCACGAGAAACCGGTTTTGGACGTCTCTAAAGCACTTTCTAGGCAAAAAACTGAATCTGTGGAATTTAATTAGTTTTTGTTTTTCAATTTACCAATAAATACAATAACTTAAGTTTGTCTATAAAAATCTAGGTACCACACTGAATATATGTAATTTAGAATGAAAGGTATCCGAACTCTATTAAAGGAATATTGATTTTATTCAATATCATGATTTTGTACCACCTTGATATTCATTTTTAAATGATCCACTAGTTTGTTATAATTAAATAATACAAATATCGAACACAAAGAAAAATTCCGTCGATCTGACTAAATTTCTATTATAAAAAGTTTTGTACAATGTAAGAAATCAATGACCTAATATACCATGTCGACACCTATCCGCCTAATGGTCAACACAAGACTTATTTCGCAAGTTAAACCAAATACTGTCTTAACTCAAAAATAGTGGAATTGAGAAAACACGATTTGAAAGTACAAAAAATTATAAAATAAATTCTCATTTATAAATGGGTAACTAATTATTATGTATAAACAAAAATTATCCCATTATTCACAATAGGATTCATCAAGTTTTTTTTAAATTCCAAATCATGTTTTCTCAATTCCATAATTTTTTAGTTACGACAGCATTGGTTGTCTGATTTAGTGTCTCGATATTTGCAGAAAAAAAATAACAACCGTGCATCCTGTATACCATCATCACGCTCGACGACCATGTGTACAACCAGTGATGGGGTGTCGTGATAACGTATCAATCTCTTCTTAATTCTACTCGCTTTATCTTGCTACTTTGAGACGCTCACAATGAAAACTTTATTAACGCTAATTAAATAACAAATTATGATTTTAATTGTAATGAAAAAAATGTTTAAGTTTCATTATTACTGGTGTTTTAAAATGACGTATTTTCTCTGTTGTGAGCGGTTAAGTATATTCACCTATAGTTCAAGGAAATAATACACATAGAGTAGATAATACCTCCCTATGAAATTTCAGAGTAACTGTATTGTATTAATTATATCATCATCATCAACCCATTTATACGTCCCACTTCTGGGCACGGGTCTCCTCTCTGACTACTGTTTAGGCCATAGCATAAATTCCGAAAAACTCTAGAGTCGCGATCCCGGATTCGAACGGCCTCTGCTGGAGAGACAGTAGATCAAACCATTATGCTACCACGGCTTTTATAAATTCTATATTTCGATCAATTACTTTACTACGGTATAAAAATGTAAGTATAAGTATAAGTATGTAAATAAGTATTATTTTATTAGTACAAAGACCGAACAAACAAATATTCCTTTGATCCGGCTGGACTCGAACCTACGGCTATTCGTCAAACCGGGACTAGCGCTCTCCGAACAACAGAAGAGTCAGCAGATCTTATGAATTTCTCTATCTATCCGTTGCAGAGCTTCATTTTGGATTTAAACGGTTTTTTGTGCACACATGTGAGAAATCTATGAAAGATTTTTCTTTCTTTCTTGTGGTGTATTTTCACAACTAATATAAAAATGTCATGGTAGTAAAAACATCATGATATTCAGTAAAAGAAATATATTTTCCAGGGAGGTATTATCCACTCTATGTATATAATATATTACTTGAAGTTTCAGTAAATATATTACCTACCTAACCTTTTCCGATCTTTGGTCATGAGAGCTAACAAAAGGATTAAAAATTGGAAGACTTTAGGAACGACGGGCTGTTGTAGATCTTATCTAGATCTAGATTTAAGAAACCCGTTTCAATTTACCCCAGAGAATCAACAAGAATTTTCAATCTGGTTGACACTTCAGCTTTGTTCTGTGTATGTCAGGGGGTCTACTTCCGTTCTCTATCCGACATCCGTCCAAAACAATTTCTGTCAAATAAGTAATATTCGCCTAAAATTAAAAGACAATGCCAAGTATGAAACTTCATTCGTATAATGCATCTTCTAATTTGATCGCGTATTACTTATTTGACGGTAATTGTTTCGGACGCATGTCGGACGAAAAACGAGAGTACAGGGCCATCAAAGAGTCAGGGGAGCCAGCGCAATCAGAACCAGGGGAATTTAATGTCGATTTATCCAATTGTCATCAAGTTTACAGTCAGAATCTCTATCGATTTGTTGTATACAATAGAATACAGTATATTTATAGAGATGTGTATCGAAGTTTCAATTTCTTCATCAAAATTTTAATGGTAAATCAAAACAAGTTCATAATTCATTGATTGCGTTGATCTAAAATTCTAAATTTAAAAATGTACTGTTAATGCTCGTAGTTGCGTAGGCGCCATTTATGTGTCTAAAGAGGATGTCGCTAATTTCGCCTGGATAGTCAGAGCTATTGTGATTGCATTGTATCTGCAGACGTAATGTTCCTACCTAAACACGCACAACATGACTATAGTTAAAGAAAAGTAATTGAAATCGATTCTTTTATTTAAAACATTATAATTATAATATATCAAAAATCATCGTGAAAAAGTCGTAGTAGGCGTAGTAGCGTAGTAGCAAACCATTGTTTGACCTACTGCCTCTCAAGGTGAGGGTCGTGGATTCGAACACGGGTTCGCATCTCTGAGTTTCTCGGAGTTTATAGCGAAAAATAAATTTGAAATGTATCACGAGCTTTAAGGTGAAGGAAACATCGTGATGAAGCCGGCACGTTGAAGAAGGTCCACAACCCTCGAAAAAGGTGTGAAGTGCCCAACCCACATGGGGCCAGCGTGGCGGATTATGGCTAAACAGTAGTCAAAGTGGAAACCCGTGCCCAGAAGTGGGACGTATAAATGGGTTGATGATAATGATAGAATTAATACAATACAGCTTTGAAATTTCAGAGGGAAGTATTATCTACTCTATGTGTGTCCTTGAACTTTAGGTGATTATACTTAACCGTTCACGACAGAGAAAATATTTTATATTACCAAGAGACGGGATGACCAAGTCGTGCGCCTGATGGTAGGTTACCTGCCTGTCCATAACAGTTGCAGTGCTACTCAGAGCTTTAAATCGCAAAGATCTTAGGGGCACTGCGCCTTTCGACCCTGAGACATAATTTGAAAACTCCCGTGTACCTGTAATATAATATATGTAAAAAAAAATATAACTGTCTCCGTGGCCGAACGGTTACCATGCCGGACTGCCTCGCAGAGGTCCCGGGTTCGATTCCCGGACCGGGAGAAATATTTGTATGGCCTACATTTATTTCACTCGTGAGTTTGGGTGTAATTTGTGGTTGTGTACCCATGTGTGTACCCATGGCACCCGCGACACTGGGTTTCCCTACTGCGGGGCTATGTTAAGTGTGTGTGTGTGTGTGTGTGTGTGTGCAAAAAAAAAGTCTCGTGAAAAAAAAATCACCAGCACCTTCCTTCAGAACCGGAACACAGTAACGCTGACATTACTGCTTGGCGGCAGAAATAGGTAAGGTGGCAGTACTTCCCTGGACGAACTCTTTTACAAGGAGCTCTATCGCCAGGGTGGCGGACTATGACCTAAAACCCTTGTATTGAGAACTTCACACGTTTTCCAAGAGTTGCGAACCTTCGTTCGACGTACAGGTTTCATCTCGACGTTCTCCTGCACCGAATAGCTCATGGTAAATTGCAAATTAAATTTCACACATAAATTCCGAGAAACTCAGAATTTATGTGCGAAACTGGATTCGAAAACACGGCCTCTGCTTGAGCCACTAGGATGTATTCATTTCAGCAAGTATGTTTTCTTATTTCTTAAGGACCTCGACAGTCACTTGTTTAATTCTATGCTTCTTATTAAATGTTGTTGTCATTTTAAAAAGGTATTGATTTTGAACAAATGCTTCGGTCAAGTGCATATAACGACCATGGCAACACAATGTACTATTATTATATAACGCTTGTATATTATGTTACATTATTCAATACACAAAACATCTTTTAAATTAATCGATACGAAGTAATAATCGATTAAGAATCGTTTTGTTTGTACGACCTTTTTATTAAATAAAACCTTGCCGGTTATTCAGTACCTAGTTGACATTGACCTGGTAAAGTTTTTGGCTCACGTTTGGGCTGGTTGATAAACACACAGATACGACATTATTGTCGTCTCCTTTATGACGTCATTTATAACTTTCGCCGAGAAAAGTTATTTACATTGTTCGATTTACAAATTTATAAGTCTTTAAGTAAATAGCCGTTACTTAACCAAATCCATTCTACAGGTCAT